CAATCAGTCGTGAGCAGTCGTACATCTTGAGCGGTCGTGAATCGAGAGTTTGGAACTTCCCATCATTACTCCCTTAAGGGAGGAGTATTTTTTTTCTAGATGGATGTTGAACCAGCTAACAAAAGTTAACAAAACAACAAGTTATCAGTTTTTGAAATACTTCAACTTTTATCTATTTTAACAGAGTTTGAATCTATTACTGTTTAGAAGTTACCCATTTATGTATATAAAAAAGTAGCCTCCCTGTATGTCTACTCTACTAAAAAAGGTGGTTTAAGTTTTTATTTTTATTGTCTACTATATACTCAAAAAATGTGTTTTAAGTTTTTATTTTATTTGTAAGTGTTCTGAAAATAAATCGTTTTAAATTCTTAACATAATGGTTTATTATCATCTGTATCTACAATAAATTAATAATATCAGTATCATTAATACCATAAAATTATTATTAACATTTAAAAAATCGTTGTATTGACTTAAGGGTAATTATTTTGATTTAAATCACAATTTTTGATTTAAGTCATTTTATTGACTTAACTCTTAGATCACGATTTAAATAAAAAATATAGACTTAAGTCATAAAAACGACTTACTAAAGGAATTAAGTCATAAGATGACTTAAATCACTTAATATTGATTTAAGAATTTGCGAAAATGACTTGACTTGAAAGAAAATGATTTAATTCAAAGACTTTATCTTAGAATTGACTTAAGATTTAAATCATTTTAATTTTAGAATTGACTTAAGACTTAAGATTTAAGTCTTTTTAAAACTGACTTGTTGCAGCTCTGGTCCAATATCGTCGAAATTTAGATATTTGCACCAACTGTTTCCTAACCTCCATATATACGTATACAAATAAGTGTTTCTCGTAAAAATGTCATAGGTTCCATAATAATTAAATATGAAATTTAGCTTGTTCTTCTAAAAACATCACAAGTCCACTCTGTTTCGTCTAAGAAAGTCACATGTTCATAACATGCGACATTTTTGGACACTCTAGAAAAGCTTCTACCTCTTTTACATGACCACAGCAATAGAAAATTTTATGATAACTTGATAAAAGACCAGAAGACCAAAGCACCTGACAGTCCTGATAACACGGTCGACAATGATGATAACAGCAGTGGATGCGAAGACTGAGTGTGGCAGTAATACAGTTTTTAGTTGTTTCATTTTATTTTGTTACTCAGAGTTAATATTTTGTTTGTAGTGTTTGTAGTAAGGAGAATTGTTCGTTTTTTTCTTCTAAAAACCTCACATATTCATGTATTTTTTGTGTTTTTTTCATATTCGTTTGAAAAAACAAACATGAGGAATTCTTGACAAATTATCTTACATTTTTTTACATGTAGTAAATAGGTCAATAAAGTACTTTGGTCAAAAATGGGAATGTCGGAGAGTTTTTTTCATTTTCCCAAATATGTTAATTTTGGACTAATGATGTTTTTCCGAGAAACGCGTCAATTATACCCCGCAAAATACATGTAAATGATAAAGAAATTTTGCCAAGCTAGTGGCTTGCCTGTGCCAACAAAAAAGTAAAATTGCCTTTGCATTGCCAATTCAGTTACTTGCATGTCTAATGAGAATCACCCTTTACTTTCCATACAAAATGTTCTCTTTAAAAAGCAATAAACAAATCACAGCACACCAGTGGCGGCTGGTGGATTTTAAGTATACCAATATCTCAGTTATTAGACATGGGACCCACACCAAATTTATAATAGTTTATATTGACATTAAATAAACAAGTTCGGCGCAAACAGAATTTAAATTGAAGTTTGCGAAAAAAAGTTAGTTTTTCCTGTCGCCTACCCTGCCTCCAGGCCCCCCTATTTGAGATAATTAAAATTAAAGTGGTGCAATTTATTATCTACTATAATTTATCGACAAATTTAAAATTTTATTCAAAAAATCCAAATATTACAGATTTTATTCGATTTTAAATTTTTATTATTTATTTTATTAAAATAAAAAAATATTTAAAATGGTATAAAAACTGTAATATTTGGATTTTTTAAATAAAATTTTAAATTTGTCGATAAATTATAGTAGATAATAAATTGCACCACTTTAATTTGAATTATCTCAAATAGGGGGGCCTGGAGGCAGGGTAGGCGACAGGAAAAACTAACTTTTTTTCGCAAACTTCAATTTAAATTCTGTTTGCGCCGAACTTGTTTATTTAATGTCAATATAAACTATTATAAATTTGGTGTGGGTCCCATGTCTAATAACTGAGATATTGGTATACTTAAAATCCACCAGCCGCCACTGCAGCACACTGGGTGTGGTGGAAAATGGCTCTGATTGGTTTATTGCTTTCTATAGAAAATAAAGTAGTAAATTTCAAGAAACAGCTCCCTGGGCAACTTTTATTTGGTACAAACCCTAAAAAATGGCACATCTAACTGAAAAAAAAGAAAAAAAGAATCGAAGATATATAATTTTATGTAATAAAATGGTAAAATTGTAATTTTTTTAGTGGTTTAAATTTATGTAGGTGGTATATTAACAAGGAAATTATATACTTACATCCATATACAGTCCCTTCTCGTTTTCTTTTGCAACACCATCCACAAATCGAAAATAAAATAACAAGAATAACACAAATAACAATGGGTACGAAGATATCCATAATGTCTATAAAAATTTAACCATAAATAGTAACTCAATGACTTTTTTCGCTAAACGTGCAATACTTTCATCTAACTAGACTGGTTAACTACAAATACGTGCAAACTATTGTTGATATACGAAAAAACGCATTTTTATAATGATCTAGATAAGCAAAATAAATAAAAACACAACTTAAAAAAATTATAGCACTTTTTTAACTTTTAACTAACAAAATATCATATCCAATTCCTTCTTAACTATAATAATAGTTCTTTTTCCTACGAAAATGTTCGTTCACCTCTTTATATTTTTAGAGGTAAACGACATGCACTGTGACAAAATGTTAAACTTAGTGTCATAGAAAAAGTGTTGCCAACAGTATTTTCAAAATACTATTTCGATATTTTCTCCCCCTACAACAAATTTTACGAATATCTGTCAAATTCTCCGCATCCTACAATAATGTTATAATAACAATACAATAATTGTATTGTATTGTATTTCACCGTAATATTGGGTGACCAAATTTGGGTTGGGAACATAGATCATACATGATCTAAAACAACAAACTTGCATAACCTCACATTTTTTGATATTTGACAGTATTCTACTTTTTTACGTTTTCTACCGTCGAAAACGTCGAAAAAGGTTTTCTACATGTCGAAAACAAAAATGTAGGTAGATACCCAACCCTGACTGTGACTAGGGTTGCCAACTTTCGGTTATTGAAATAAAGGACAAATTGGGATTTTTTTTTGGGTGCCACGTCTACTTTACAGCTTTTCCGATTTTTTTTTCGAACGAGGTGGTGTAGAAGGGGCACCACTTGACGTAGATGTCTGTGACTTTGGGACATCATCACTTGCATCGACGACTTTATCACCATTCATGATGATTTGATTGAGGATGTTTAGCAAAAACCTGCAAATAAATAATGATTTGGCATTTAGGCAACTACTTGTTTAAAATAGAAAATGCTCCTTTTTATGAATCTGTTTAATTTAATTTTCCAATTAAAGTTTAAAAATATATTGCGACAAAAAACTGAAATCTAATAATTTAATTTTAATATTGTATTTTCCACTTACCGTTTCCTGTTAAAAAGTTGTAAAATAAGGTTAAAAAAACACCTTACACACATGGACTAGTCGACTACACACAAGGGCTCAACACAACGAGGAACAAAATAAAAATACAAGGTATGCTGGATAAATTGGAGCTCGGGGATTTACCAAAATTTTTCAAATGTTGCCAATTTTACATTTTAATGTATTTGTATGGGCCTTTTTTTAAATAATTGTGGATTTATCTGAATTTTCGGATTTTAAAGGATATTTGCCGTTCTTTGACACCTTTCAAAAGGACAAAGGACAGTATTTAGAAATAAAGGACTGTCCTTTGAAATAAAGGACGGTTGGCAACCCTAACTGTGACCCTAAACCAAACTATGACACAAACAGTGTTGCCAATGTACGTGGAAATCCACGCATTGTGTGGAATTTATTTTGTTGTGTGTAATTTGTGTGTAATACATAAACGTGTGGAATTTGCGTGTAAACTTTATCTTTAAATTAACAATGCTTATAACAAGCATTTAAAAAGATATTGCAGATAATCTGCAAATGCGCATTTTAGTTATTTATCTTTATGGACGAATTTCTGTGCAGATTTCTATATATACAGCAAATTAATAAATCTGGTGTTTTTGGAAACTTGCAAGCGTAAGTTATCGAGTAATTTAAAACCGGTTATAACAATAGACTTTTTGACAAAGTAAGTAATCTAGTAAGTTTTTGAAAACGTCTAATCACCAGTAATTACCGCAGACAGAGTTTTTGTTGTGATTCACCTCAGAAACTCTTTCTGCGGTAATCACCAAAGAAACCTAACAAAACCAAAATCCCAAATGTGTGGAATAGTTGGCAAAATTGTGGAATTTTGACAGAATCTGTGTGTAAATTATGTCAACACCATTGGCAACACTGGACACAAATGAAAACACACTTGTGAAGTTAGCAGCATAGAAAAAGGTTAGCAGCAGGGTTGGGTATCTACCTACATTTTTGTTTTCGACATTTAGAAAACCTTTTTCGACGTTTTCGGCGGTAGAAAACGTAAAAAAGTAGAATACTGTCAAATATCAAAAAATGTGAGGTTATGCAAGTTTGTTGTTTATTATGATTTGTTAAATGTTGTGAAAAATCAGACAACTACCATAAATTTAAAGTTATTTGGAGTTTTTTAACATTATTATGGTGGGAAAAAGAGCCACGTTTGGTTGGGAGACCCCAACATAATTTTTGACATGAGGGCAAATTTTTATCAATTATAGAGAAGTGGAAGGAGAAGGTCGAATAAGGTAATTTACGTAGGTAGAAAACCCTATAGGTTTTCGACGCAAGTCGAAAACAAGTTTTCTACCCTTTTCTACCAAGGTAAATTACCTAAGGTTTTCTACTGACCCAACCCTGGTTAGCAGTAAACAAATCCTCCAAACAAGAAAGAAGTTAGCTTTGAATAAACGTCAAAAATTTCAAAAACTTCCAGAATGAACAAATTAAATGTTTAAAAATGTTGTAAGGTATTTACGTAGTTTGAAAGAAAGAAAAATGCCAAATTTACGATACTTCATCAACGATTACCCGGATTACAACGCAAAAAGCGATGGTATACCTGATATGCCTCGCGAAGAACTGAAATTGAAAGTAAACGAAATTATTAAAAGAATTGTGCACAAATTACAACCAATAGAGAAAAATGCAAGCGAGGGTGTGTATCAAGGCACAGCAGGAATATCTTACATGTTCTATACCCTGAGCAAAAATGCTATGTTCCAAGAATCACAAAACAATTTGTTGGGTGAAGCAGCCAAATACCTTAAACCTGCAATAACTGTGGCCACGTACAACACCAGACATCCCTCCGATTTGCCTTCTTTTATTTTGGGCAACAGCGGAATTTACGCAGTGTCAGCAGCCATTTACGAGGCACTGGGTGACACAAATCAAAGCAAATTGTTTGTGCAGCTTTATCATGAAGCTGGAAGGGTTTGCAAGGAGCCCAAGTTTTTAAACTGTGGGTGTGATGAACTCTTTGTTGGAAGAGCAGGTAAGTTTTTTTATTTGTATTACACGTTTTGTAAATATTTATGGCTCTGGGGTACAAGCTTCCTGGGAAGTTGAGTGTCACGCTTATTTGTTTCATGGCCACGCGCTAGTCATCATTACTAAGCAAGGTACATACAGAGATAAAGAAAGTGACATCAAAGATAATCTTTGGGTGACATACACCTTATTAAGTAATGTAGATCATCTACAGTAGATGTGTCCGTGTTTGCGTGCGCCGCACTTGACCGCACGCCGTGCGGCGCTACTCCGCAGTGTTGCCAGATATTTTTGAGAGGAAGAGCCAACCTTATAAATAAAAATAGCCCAAAAGTAGCCGCATTGGCACTAAGGTCCGACCGAACCTGATTTTGTAGTCTCGGCCATAGAGAAACAATTGTTAATGGTCTCTATGGTCTCGGGCGAGACCGAGACAGATGTCAATGACAATTATTTTGTCTAATTGAAATAACTTAACAAATATTGCTCTGCTCGATAGATTTATTGCATGTAAAGTTCACATTGTGAACTCAGAAGAGATTAACATTTAAAATGACTTAACATACTTTCTTAGCAAAAAGGTAATGGTTACTCAGAGCTCGTTCTCGTTTTGGTCGCGCATGCTTAGCGCTTTGAATGTCCGAGTTCTGCGAAGTTTCGGCCATGGCCCATAATCTCGGCCTTTTTTCGCCGAGATCGAGAAATAGATCTCGGACAGATTTATGGCCGAGAATGACCAAGATCAAGATTTCGGTCGGACCTTAATTGGCACCTTGATTTGCATCCTAGATCATGGACCCTACACAAGGACTCTGAACTCCATGTATAGAAATGATTTCCCAAAATAGAAGGGCGCTGGTGTTTTGTTTGTAGTTTGGTTTGTACTGAAACATTGTAAGGGACCCTTACTAAGGGTAAAACATACGTCAGTAAAAAAGGGAAATTAGCGCCGCTAGTGGTGAAAAAATAACACATTGGTGCGATCTAGTAGGCAGGTTCTGTCAATTCCCCCTATTGAGCTCATACTCATTGTGTATGCTTCATGCTCTAGATAAATAACTTTAATAACGTTTGAAAACAAAAACAAATTGCGAACAACTGTCAAATAAGTAAAAATAATACTAAATAACTTTATTCTTCTTCTTTTGTTGCGTAAAGTTAATATCAATATCTCTATAAAATTTTGCGCATGATGAATTGGGAAAGGTCTATTTATATTCTTTTAACCAATTGTAGCCCAATTATAGCCCCTTTGCTAAAAAAGTAGCCCAAAGTAGTAGCCTGTAGCCGTCTGGAATTTTTGGCGTTCTGTAAAAAAATCGTCACTTTTAATAAAAATGTAAAACGTCAATAGCATTAAATTAAATCACTATATCAAGTCCGCCTCTGCGCCTGTTTATAAATATTTTTGGTTATGAGGAATTTTTCACGCGATTACATTGCCGACACTACAGCGATTAATTCTGGGAATACCATGGAACCTATTCATGTTCGTGCATTTTAGGTATTTCCCAGAGCTCTTATTTTACTTTAAGCGGATCGCGCGCATCGCCAATGTTTTATTATTTTATTTTGACGTAAATAAAATGTCTAAAACTAATAGTGAAAGTGCTATACAAAAAACGAAGACGTTTATTGCACGCCTCCAAAAAAACTAAAAAGTGATGACTACAAACAGAAATACAAAAGAGATTGGGAGAAAGGGTTATTTATGTGTGATTTAGTGATAAAGTTTTTTTTTAAATAAACATGGTATTTTTATAACTCGTTTTTATGTATTTCTAAAATAAGTTATTTTAAATAACATTTTTACGACTTAACACGATTTTACACCATTTTTGGTAGCCGAATAACAAGATTCCCTCTGCACTGCATCATATTTGTTATATGCTCTGCATCTAGCAACACTGACTGCGCATAGGTATAGGGTGTTTTTTTTAGAGGTATAGAACTTTCGACAGCAATAGCGCTGTCAAACCATCTGTCAGAATGGTCACCTGTCTTTGAAATTTTGTTTGGAAATTACCATTCAAAGACTTCTGGATGGTTTATAATGGCAATAAGCCTAATTTTATTTTCTAACCACTATTCTAAACATTCATTTTCAATACTTTGGTATATAATCTCTTACCGTAATCTCGTAGCGCAAAGTTCGGCAACTTTTATGTTTAATAGAAAATAATCTGTAATCTCTTAACCCTTATGCAGGCGCACCTCTTTATGCAACGTAGTAGGTCGCGCGGGGTGTCAGAGACACCCCTGATGGCAAAGCGTCCCTGAGTGTTATTTACATTTTTTTTCAAGGTTATCAAGTTAAGATGAGATAGAGACAATGAGAACATATTTCGTTGCGTTCAAATTTGATAAAAGATTACAAAAAAAAAAGAAAATCTCAAAAGACGACAATTTTAATAAAATAAAGCATTTATTTAAAAAAACAAATTTTAAAAGTCATAATAATAATTAAAACAAAAAAAAACACTAAGCACATAAGATAAGGTTTACTTTTAAGGCGCATTCATGCTCACTTAAAATAAGAATAAGAAATAAGATAAAAAGTTAAAACTGTGTAAAGTAATGGTTGCGTTCATGCTCATGAAAATAAGAAATAAGACTAAAGATAAATAACTTTTAACTTTGGTTCTTATTTTTGCGTATAAAACTGCGCAAAGGACAAAATTGGTATGTGAATTGGTTTTATGGGTTTTATGTGTTGGAGATCGCGTTGAGTGTCGCTGCCGCTGCCACTGCCACTATAATAAAATATAATTGTGTGACATTTTTTATTTCTTATGTTATCAGCATGAACGATTAATCGCGATCTTATTTCTTATTTCTTATTCCTTATTTCTTATTTTTTATTCTTATTTCTTATTTTAAGTGAGCATGAATACGCCTTTATTCTTATTTCCTATTTTAAGTGAGCATGAATGCGCCTTAAGACTGAGCTACTTTCTTAATTGAAAAAGTATAGGAAATGTACAAATTCTTTAATAGGATTAGAAAAATATATTTACAGAGCATGTCTCAAAAAGACTGTGGAATCCAAAAATTCAAATAAAAGGGATATTTTTATTAAAAATAAGAAAGTTGGAACCGTCCCAGAGAAAACCGAATACCCTGTACCTATAAGTAAAAATATTATTTAAAAAAAATTGTATTAGTTCATTAGTATTTAGTCATTTCTTTTGACAAAAACAACAAATTATATCAACCTTTAAAGTTACAAGAGCCCACAGCCCACTTCTAAGTTTGACAGGTCAAACTCAGAAGACAGCTCACAGAATAACACAAAACCACGTTTTTTTGAGCACAAAGTTAGGTTATTGTGTTTATCATCTTACATTAACAGTCATGATTTTAACCAAAATACCAATCACGTAATTTACCAACTACATTTACTACACAATAATTTACTATGTTCTGTGATTTACTACATACTACATGGTCAATGTATAAAATGTAATAAACGCAATTTTTACGTCAGTTTCCCATCCCTGGGCTGGAGGCCTTACAAACGGGACAAATATTACTATTTTTACTCTTTTTTATTCTTAAAATTATAGATATAATTATTAAAAGGAACTTGGCAATAATAATTTTATTAAACAAACTGGCTACCAAACACTTATACTAAAATTCACATTAACACATGTGACGCAGCATTGCTGAGTTCGTTTAACTATCTTCGTTATTTATGCGTCGAATAATATTAAGTATATTGTATCGACGTTGCTGCGTCGTAAATTGTTGTCAGCTTCACTTGATGCAGGATTACCGTAAGTTTAAAAGAAATATTCACTTTTTCAATATACACCAAATTTAAAAGCGCACCCTTGCGGCAAACTGCGTCACCCTTAAAAACGGTCATGACGTCACCAGTAAAATTACACACATTATACCTGACGCAGCATTGAATGCAAATTTCATAATGTATTGACGCAGCATTGTAGGCGGGATGTATATATACCTAGCACGTGCTAAGTATAATAATAAATTAATTATAAAAATATATTAAAAAATACGATAATTTTTAAGCCTTGGTGAGATAAATCAATTCCCAAAACTTGGCAACACTTATGGTATATACCATGGCAACACTGTTATGCACTTGCATAGTTCAGAGAAAAACCTTAAGGTTATAAATTTAAATTATGGCACTATGGCATCAAATGAATTTCTGTGAAATCACCTGGACCTCACCTGAAGCTCATTAGCTAAATCATTGCTGAGCTCATCCTGAGTTAACTAGTTCTTAATAAGATCATTTGTGAAATTAATTTCACAAATGATCTCATCAAGAACTCAGCAATGATTCAGCTAATGAGCTCCAGGTGATTTCACAGATATGCATTTGATGTCATAGTGAGTTCACTGTGAGCTCACGCGATGATTATCACTGAGTGATTTTTTAATGAGTCATAAATGTTATCTGGGAAATAATAGAATTTAATTTAATAATTATGCTATAATGGCTTCTACTACCTTTACGTAAATATAAATAAATATATAAAACCGACAAATAGGTCCCTATTGTAAATGACCGATAGAATCCAATAAAAAATAAGTAATTGGTTTGAAATGTGTTTTGGCGCTATGAATCACCAATTCATTCCAGTTGCATTCCTATTGGTAAATTCCAATGAAGTCAGCGGCTTAAATTGGAATATACCAATCTATGCCCATGCTTGTCTCTATTGGCTAAATTCAATTGAAATGCATCTGGAATAAATTGGTAATTCATAGCGCCAAACCAATTCACACCAATTTATTTTTTTAAATTTAGATTAAAAATACCAGTTGATTTTTCATTCAAAAATAATTAAGATACCAGAAGAATAACCGGGTAAAAACCAGAATTCATTTTTCACAGAAGAGACAAAAAAATTATTATAACTGAGTAACTTTATTTCTTTATTATTTTTTTGTGTTAGTGAGATATGTATTGATACACAAAAAAGTAATAAAAAATAAATAAAATTACTCGGTAATAATCATCTTTCTTGCAATGGATGTTTGTAGGCATGGTCAAAACCAATATTATTTATGTCAAATTTTTTTTATTTTGTACGCTGTAACCACCATTCTCACGCCATCGTCCCTAAACCTTGCACATATAAACATTTTTTTAAGGTATAAGTACACACCACTATAAGTACGCAACTACCACTAAGCACAGAAACTCATAGATTATAAAACAAACCGACTAATAAAAAAAACGACATTAAATAGCGTCCAAAGACTTGTTTGTTTCTTTATGATGGCGTCTCAACCATTCGAACAAGGAGTGCGTACGTTGGTTTTGCGCAGCTACACGAGAGCCCTCTTGCGATATTTTAAAGTATTGGGAATAATCAATTAGCAGATTCCTTTTTAGAATCTCACACTGGGAATGCCCAATTGAATTCAGTTGGAAATTACCTATGGGTAGCTTTAACCAATTGAAACCACTAAAAAACAGTAGAATCCTAATTGGACTTTACCATATTTTAAAGTTTTGGGAATAACCAATTAGCAGATTCCTTTCTAGAATCTTACACTGGGAATGCCCAATTGAATTCAATTTGAAATGATCTATTGGTAGCTTTAACCAATCGAACCACTAAAAAACAGTAGAATCCTAATCGGACATTTCCATCTTGGAAAATACCAGTAAAAACCAATTTCTGTTTTATATCGCTCCCAATTAAACCCAGTAAGTCCAATTCAGACCTATTGATACCAACTAATACTTTAATTGGTTTCTATAAGGAATTAATCGGTCATTTACAACAGGGGTATTATAAACTATGTTAGGTTACCTAATAAATTTTCAGAGAAGTTTATTATTGAACATATGAAATATGTTCCAAACTTAGGTACCTACCTATTCCATATGTTTATTAATAAACTCCTCCAAACATTTCTTAAACCTATTTTAAAGTCCAATCAAGGATGTTCAGTGGACGTTCAAAGTACGCCTAATCCTGCTAAGCCGGACTAAGTCTAGACTTGTTCGGCATTGGCGTAACTACAGGGGGCCTAGGGGGGCCGGACCCACCCCCAGACATCGCTGGGCCCCCTCCAGGAAAAGGCTGACTTTTATCTGTTATAATTTTTTGTTATTACCAAATTTGCAATAGAAATGTGTATGTATCATTTACATATCTTAGGTTGTATTTTATCAACTTTCAAAATACGAGTTTTAAAAACCGCCCCTGTCAGCTCGCAACTAGCCATTGTATCTTTTCATAATAACAAACAGTCATACGCGGTTCAAACGGTCATCAATTATATTTGGACGCGTCCTCAAGATCAGTACTTACTCCCTTTCTCACTGGAACTGTTTGATAAAAAAAAATGGTATTTGTGCCTTTTGGAGACAACATTTGTTTTACTTTTTTAAAGATTCCTAGTCACAATAACAGGCCCACCCTAGCCCCCCCCGGGTCAGATGGCTAGTTACGCCAATGCTGTTCGGCCTGGCTACGTCTAGAATAACCTAAATAGAACGCCCCTAGGCCGTCTCGTGATATCTGGGTCAAAATTTCGAAAAGAAAATTGGGCAAACAAAAAACATGAATTGAAGGGTAAAATAATGCATTTTAAAGTACTAAAAGATAATTATCATCGAAATAAAACGAGCGGTTTTTTTTCTTTTAAAATACCTACTTAATCTGTTTAAATTTTTTAATTCAATAAATTTAATTATTTAATTAACCCAGCATCCCCCTGCCCCGCCTTGTCGGCGCCCATGGTGTGAGTACAATGGCACTCGAGTTGATCAACTGTTTTTTTTTGTGTAAACTGTCCTAGAAATATATTAACTGGCTTAGGAGTCCTAAGCCAGTTACAATGTCCTAAAACATATTTTTGACGACTTCAAGTGTATCATAAAATGGAAAGATTATTTTGGACTTGAAATGACTGAAATAATGTAATATAGTATTTTTTTTAAGGTTATATTTTGGGAGCATTATGGCTATCAAAAGAGACAAAAACCGAGTTGAAATTGGCTGACTTGAGTGAGATTTGTTCCATGATGGTGGCATCTGGCAGGGAGTATTCAAAACAACTGAAAAGCATATGTCCCTTAATGTACTCATACTACCAAATGGAATATATAGGGGCCGCCCACGGTCTTTCCTCGATTCTGCAGGCCTTGATGTCCGTGCCGGGATATTTGAACGCTCATCCTGACGTCAAGGATGACGTCAGGAATTGTGTGGATTATGTTTTGGGAATGCAAACTTTAGAAGGTAAAAACAAAATTATATATATTTTTTTTAAATTATATTTCTTTTGGGGTGTTGAAAGGTAAATTTTAACATACAACGAAAGTTGCAGTCGCCTAGTTAACGAAAATTCGACACCGAGATGTTATCGATATGACTGAGTAGATATGTTACGGAATAGCTTTTTTTGTAACTAGTTTGACCTGTACCAGTTCCCAACGCGAACCTATTCCGGTTCCTGCCTATTCCAACCCAAATGCGCGGCTGTAGGCATTCTCCCTGGAGCTGGTTCAGCTGGGTGAACCTAATCAGGTGACTCTCGCAACAGGTTAAAACTATTACAAATACGAAGGAGTATTGAGTATACTCATATATATTTACATTTAGTTTCTCGATGCCGAAATCAATGCGGTAATATGTGATATATTTGGATACCTACTCTTTTATTTATTGCTTTTTTTATAAAAAAAATAAAAAGATTCCATCCATATTTCTCTTGTAGTTTATTTATTAGTCTCATCTGTAGCCATAATTTGATAATTAATTAATAATAAACGAAACGTACCATATCATGCAATCCAGGATTTAAGGGTTATAAAGTGAAATAACGCGGCAACCGGCATAGACGACGATCCAAAAAATACCCACTGCAGTTCCAATCGGTTTTATTCGCTATTTACCATTACAGGGATAGTGAAAAAATAGACATAATTCCTTGTATCATGAGAATAGAAAACAGACTAACTGCGCGACAGCGGCTGCCAGGACTCGGAATAGGAAAGGCCGGAATAGGTTGCGATATTTGGGAATAGGTACGCGAAATAGGCAGGTGATACCTATTCCAAAGTAGCCGGTCCAGTCGATAAGGAGTCAAGCCACCTTAATTGGGACCAGGAAGTTCCACGAAATCACCGATTTTGAAAGATATACATATATTGTTAAAATTTCTTATCCATTGTTAATGTTATAGCATTGTTTTGTTGAAAAAATCAAAATATAAAGTTTTCTAGGCTGTTCTACTTCTTTATCGATAGCGCTCAGCGAGCACTTAATTAACTTAATAATTATATTAATATAATTATTAAGTTATAAACGTAATTACGTAAAAAAGTTCTCATCATATACGTTTTTCCTTTAGAGCGGTTCAATTTTTATTTAGTATCAAGCTTGCATTGTTATTATAAAGAAAAATAATAAATAGTATATTGTGCCACTATAGTAGAACAAAGAAGCGATTCCTTGAACATGGAGTTTGAGGTGAGTGGAATCTGCTCTTTTGACCAATAGTTTAACACAATATTTTATTTAACTACCGCAAGGTAACGCAGTTTAAACATCACTTTTTCCAATTTTAAATTAAAGCTATAGCTTATAAGTTATAACTTTAGCCCGTGGGCAAAATGGTGTTTCGCTCACCGATTAAAGTTAAGAAATGAAATGGGTGTTGATAAAGTATATTGTACAACTAGTGAAGGTAAGAGGAGATTCCTTGAGCGTGAAGTTTTCCGCACGAGCGTAGCAATATCTTATTTAATTACCACAAGGCATTTAAAGTCGATTTATTTTGATATTTTATCTGACATCAGTTTTAACCTCATTTTTTTAGAATTTTAACTTCAGCCCGTGGGCTTTGTAAAATTTCGCCCACCGGTTAAAGTTAAGAAATGAAATGGGTGTTGAGTAATAGTATATTATGTATCAAGTTTTATAAACGCCATTTTAGTTACGAGTTTAATTAAGCACGAGCGAAGCTTGCGAGCGAGTTTTTAATAAAAACGAGTGTCTAGAGAAGTTTATAAACGAGTTGCATACTATACTTTATCTACGACAAACACAAAACAGAATTTAAAGCCAATTTTATTTGTTAAAATTTTGACATCTGTCAACTGTCACCCGAATTTAACCTCACTTTTTCCCAATTTATAATAAAGCTAACTTCAGCCCGTGACGTAAAATGTCGAAAAGCCACTGTTGTTAACTTCAGCCCTTCAATAAAACGCCATAAAGTTACAGCTCGTCAATGTAGGAGTAGATAAAATTATTTAATGCCCACGGACTGAAGTTGGCTTTAAGTTAAAATTGAAAAAAAATAAGGTTAAAACTGCTTAACAGTTTTCAGATCAAATATTAAATAAAATTGGCTTTAAATTCCTTGTGGTAGTTAGTTAAATAAAATATTGTGTGCGACCATTGGTCAAATGAGGAGATTCCACTCGCGTGTTTCTCCCACAAATATTTTTTTTAAACTAAAACAAATATTTTTGGATTCGCTTGATAGCACTATTTTATCACGTTTTAGTTGCCTTTACATACTTCTTATTTATGTATTTCATGTATAATAATAATAATATATTATGATAATATCGATGACTTTCTGCCAAAGTATCGCAAGCAACATAACTCAAATTTCGGAAATTAAAAACATTTTAAAGTCTGTTTTAAATTAAATATAGCCTAAAGGTTTTATAACAAGTAAATAGCTTATAATTATAGCTATTTACTTGGTATAAAACCTATAGGTTATGGTTTAAAACAGACTTTAAAACAAAAAATGTTTTCAATTCCCGAAATTTGAGTTATGTTGCTTGCGATACTTTGGCAGAAAGTCATCGATATAATAATAATAATCTTTATTTAAAAAAGCCACTTGGACAATGAACACGTCAATACAAAAAATAGCAGTATACTGATATAACACAAAATAAAATACAAAAATAAAATTAATTTCCAATAATTAATAATAATTATACAATGGTAGCCTTATCAAAAGTTACCATTGCTTGACTTTTCTATGAAAAGCATTAAATTTGCAATTATGGCACTAACTTAACACTAAATTTTAAGCAAAAATGTTTAAAATTCCGCCCAATTAACAATGCTTACTTATTGAAACTTCCTAAAATTGCCTTAAAACATTCTTATAAGAATGTTATAACTACCTTAAAATTATCTAAGGTATCCAAACTGTTTAAATAATCCTACAAATATTCTAAAAATCTTATAAAATATCCTCAAACGTCCTTAAACTGTAAAATGCTCTAGAACTATAGTCTAAATATAAATTGTCCCACCAACATACAAAACTGCAAAACCACCATTGACCTAAAACAAATTGAATATATTACCTTGAAAAACTTGTTTAGGTAATTTCCCGGCCGCAACAGACGAAGTAGGTATGGGCAGGGAAAACTCCGGTTTGGGTTCCGACTTGGTCCACTGGTGCCATGGTGCACCCGGTGTGGTATACATGATGGCCAAGGCCTACCTGACATTTAACGACATCAAGTACTTGAACTCTTGCAAACTCATGTCGGATTTAATTTGGAACAAAGGCATGCTGAAAAAAGGCCCTGGTATTTGCCACGGCGTGGCCGGCAACGGATACGTTTTCTTGTTGCTCTACAGGCTTACTGCTAACCTCAAGTATTTGCACAGAGCTAATTGTTTTTGTCGTTTCATGGATACTGAGCGGTTTAAAACAGAGGCCCGGATCCCGGATTATCCCTACAGCTTGTACGAAGGTTTGGCTGGCACAGCTTGTTATTTGGCCGATTTGGCGAATCCCACGGAAGCGCAATTTCCCTTTTCAGATGTCTTCTTACTTATGGCCTAAGTTTTTAATTAAATCGTGTAAATAAAATAAATTATTGTTGCCAAGTCTCTATTTATTAAATAAAATTAACATTACTACACAACATTATATTTATTTAGTGTACAAAAGGATACACTATGACCCCTCCCTTACATTCTTGGATTTTTTATGAACCTCAATTTCAATGATAAGCCCGAAAATGCTAAGCAATATGCCTATAGCCAATGCCAAAAGTGCTGGATAAAAATCCAAAAAACCCACACTAAAAGTTTTAGTGTTCTGATTTTGAAAACATTCAGGTTTTCTTGGATGCCAATGCTTTATTTCTCTGCTTAGAATGCCCTCTGTTGCCAACTTTTGCAAACTAAAAATAATATTTTAAATTTGCCTTCGTATACTGTCCTTAAAAATTGCTTAAAATTGTACTTGAATACCCCAAATATCTTAAAAATAGAGCATTAAAAAATGATACCAACCATGTGTCAAACAAATCCCTGTAAGGACTGTGTTTCTGCAAGTTCGAATGCATCGGTTGAGTCCTAAACAATTGAACTTCGCGAAGTTCGCATACTTCCTTCAAGCTAAAGGTGTGCTCTATTATGGGATACGCTGTTGCCAGTTCGACGTGAAATGCGTAGTTGCCTTTTTCCACCAATTTGACGCCATGTTCGGCCGAGAAAAAGTTCGACTTGTTGTTTGTTCTGTATATTTTTTTGCTATAGAGGTCCCTCGCATTTCTATCACTTGTATACTAAAAATTATTAGTTTTTGTTTGCAGTTAAGAATATACGAAAAAGGTATAACTTTTTACCTTGAAATAATCTTTATTATACAAAATATCTTCACATCCTGATCCCATAGAAGATGTTAATATATCCTGTACTGTTTTTATTGTTGTAACATCTTTCATAAGTAGATGCGATACTATACTGCCCGAATAAAATTGGTATATCAGTAGAAACAGCAAAAATATAAACAGCATTACAATTCTACCAGATAGTAAATTAGGGATTTGCGTAAACCCTAAAATTGTGCCCTATTACATACAAATCAGTACCTATTTTATAAATATTATTGTAGATTTCGTTTTTTTTTAATTTGAACTTGCCTTGTTGACACATTGCAGCCACAACAGAAATAATCATTAAACTCCATGAATAATCCACTTTATCGTCATCCAAATAAACCCTTTCTTGGTACAAACTCACCTTCAGGGCTAAAATCCCTACGGTTGCCGACAGCAGAGTCAACAACCAAGTAGCGGTAGAAAGGGGTTCTAGAAATATTTCTACGGACGTTTTGGTTTTGGGGTTTTTAAATATAAACGCGGCTCTTAGCACCCAGGTGCGACGACCGTACTCCATAAATTGGGCTCTGTCTGTACGTACGAATAGGGGGGAAAGACCAAAGTCCACTTGTTTGCGCTCCAGGGCTCCCACAAGTCCGTCGAAAGTATTGTCTGGGTTCAGGTAGCCCCACGAGTTTGATAGGGAAATGTCCATGCTAAATATGCTATGTAATTAAAATAATAAACCAAAAATACTTTTTATAATTTTTGGCTAGATTTTTTAAAATAGTATACCGTAACTATTTTAGGAGCCTACTATACTTGTCGTTTAAATTAACAAATTGGAGGCATTTTTCTTCTGTTAAAATGGTAAAAACAAAAAAAAATTAAACGTCGGGTTTCCAAAATATTCACAAAAATAACGTTTTTAAAATAGGACACCCTGTATATTTTCACATATTTTAAAAGAAAATTTAATTTGCAACAAAAAATTATAATTGCATATATGCAATTTTGTGATGGTTGTTAAAATAACCAAATTATTACTTAATTTTAATAACAATCAAACAGTTCGTTTATTTTTAGGTTTAGGGTAGTTATGCATTTAAAAAATGTTTATTTTTGTAAATAATTTGGTCTGTTAAATTTTACCGTGAAAAAGCGGTTTAATACAATTCTTACCTAAAATTATAATATTGTTTACAAACATGCATTACAGAGCTATGAAATCGGTTAAACGTATTGATTTGACGATTTTCGTCATTTTTTAAGTAGTCCAATAAAGTGCCTTCAAAGGGCTCAGGTAACTAAAAATAATATTATTGTAATATTATAAAATCTCAACAAATATTTAGGGGCCGTCCATAAATCTCGTGACGCTAAAAATGGTCAAAATTTACCACCTCCCCCACCCTCGTGTCAGAAAATGACAATGTAAAGACCCCCAAGGGTCATATGACAATTTATCAAACTCATCTACCACCTAAAAATATTTGTTTTTATCTTTTTTCTTATTATCTGAATAAAACTGGAACAAATGAGCAATTTTATTCGATTTAATTTATCACATGACCCCCCTTGGGCGTGACAAATCGTGACGGTCATTTAGCGTCACGAGATTTATGGACGGCCCCTTGTTTAGAAAATATATATTAATAGAAATTAATTTTCATATTTTTGAAATTGGCGCATTTATTTTAGGGAATTAAATTGAAAAAGAATTTTAAAACGATTTTTGGGCTTTAAGACTTTTTTTTAATAAATTGTTGGTTACTTTTTTAGGTAAATAAAACTGTTGTTAATAACTTTAAAAACGCTTTTCACGAAAAAAGTATTATTTCTTATAAGAAACAATTTTTTGGCTTTATAATTCATTTTTGCAATAAAACTTTGATAACATGTTTAGATTAATTGAGGCGTTTCTCGGAAAAACATCATTAGTCCAATATCGTCGAAATTTAGATATTAGCACCAACTGTTTCCTAACCTCCATATATACGTATACAAATAAGTGTTTCTCGTAAAAATGTCATAGGTTCCATAATAATTAAATATGAAATTTAGCTTGTTCTTCTAAAAACATCACTCCGTTTCGACTAAGAAAGTCACATGTGCATAACATGTGAAGTTTTTGGACACTCTAGAAAAGCTTCTACCTCTTTTACATGACCACAGCAATAGAAAGTTTTATGATAACTTGATAAAAGACCAGAAGACCAGAGCACCTGACAGTCCTGATAACACGGTCGACAACGATGATAACAGCAGTGGATGCGAAGACTGAGTGTGGCAGTAATACAGTTTTTAGTTTTTTCATTTGCTTTGTTACTCAGAGTTAATATTTAGTTTGTAGTGTTTGTAGTAAGGAGAATTGTTCGTTTTTTTCTTCTAAAAACCTCACATGTTCATGTATTTTTTGTGTTTTTTTCATATTCGTCGAAACAAAAAACATGAGGAATTCTGGACAAAGTATCTTACATTTTTTTACATGTAGTAAATAGGTCAATAAAGTACTTTGGTAAAAAATGGGAATGTCGGAGAGTTTTTTTCATTTTCCCAAATATGTTAATTTTGGACTAATGATGTTTTTCCGAGAAACGCGTCAATTGCTATAAAAAATAAGTACTTACCACGATCATTGCTTTAAACTGTATCCCACTAAAATTTTTTCTATCCCAATATTTCACCCCCTTGATTCTTGCTAAATACCCCTCTTTCCTATTAAAATACCCCAAATGGGTGTAAACATAATCACCCCCATACCCAGAGGAAGGGTTGTAAAAATCTGTTATTTCATATGAATCTGAACGATTTTGATAATTTGGAGTTGCAATATGAATATCTGTGTTTACATACGTTTTTGTGTTATTAAATAGTGGGGTTACATTTTTGGTGGAGCTAAGTAAAAGCCAGTGGTGTTTTACATCGAAATAACTCATATCTGCACACTAAAAAAATGTTATAACTTAAAAATATTTTTAATTCGTTTTTTTACATACCGTTTTTATAACATCATTCGCGTTTAGACAGTCAGCATCTAATACAACACCAATATTACTAATGTTATTATTTTTAAATGCAGATTTCACACTTAAAATTAGTTTATTTATTTTTAAAATTGATAAAACGCGGTTGGTTGATGATAGGTTCTTAGTTAAATTTATTTGTTCTAAAATAATATTATTAATGTCTGAAATACAAGTATATTTTATTTTACCTAGTTTTAAAAAACACCCAATAATAGTACCAAAAGTTATCTGTTTTTCCGTAAAATATCCATTTATTATATCAACATTTATGAAGCCTTTAATACCATATAGAAAAAAAATATAGAAGAAATATTTTTTTACATCCATTTTTGGTAAATAGGTCAGTAGAACTGACCAAACATTTTTCTTGATTGGCAGTACATGAATTTTTTATTGGACAGGTTTTTAAAAAGTAAAAAAAGGGTAACCACAAGAAATTGAATATTAAATTAAAGCAATATACAAACAATCATGATTTTTTAATGGAATATTTTGAAGGAAACAATGAGATAAGAAAATTGTCTTTATTTTTATAAAACTTAAAATTAATATATTATTATTTTGGATATTGTAATGTAATTAAATTATTATTTTATTCACTCTCTGTGCTGCCATTGGCTTGTGTCAAAAATACTTGTTGAGTGCCTGTATTAGGCTGTGCAACCTAAAATAAGTAAATTAGTATATAACCATTGATATAACAATAAAACAGTATTTGGACTTCAAAACTCATTTTGCAATAAAAGTTTAATAAATTACCACTTTGTAAAATGGTCGATATCATCCCAGAAATATGCATTATTGAACTAAAAAACTGATTGAATGAATAGAATCGTCTTAAAAACACTTTTTAGGACAATAAACACAAATTTACGATAAAATTTAAATTAAAAATTATTTATATTATTGATATAAAATTAATATTTTTATTTATACATTCGCCATTTTTTGGGTCAAATTTGCAGGTTATTTCCGAAAATGGAAATTTAATATAAAAAACATAAAGATTTTTTAAGCTTTAACACATTCTCTGCGGCTGACGGCCTAGGCCGTCAGGCGCGGTACTGATATGTGCTATTGACGGCCCAGGCAGTCATGCGTACCCAAGCAACCTTTTGATATATTATATTATTATTATAATAATATAATATATTATAGAGGTCAGCGTTGTTCTAGCGCAGGTTTAGGTGCCCAGTGCGCTTGACGGCTCAAGCCGTCATGGCCCTACTGGCACTGATTTTAACCAAAACTTATCTTATGTAATTTATTAAAGTGTTCTGTAAAATAATTTTACAGAAATTCGAAACAAAAATATGTCAGCACCAGGGGGTCGTTAAGGCTTCCTCATCCAGCAGTGAAAGTGTTAAAAAATGTAAAATCTTAGTGAGATTATCTCACACATATTTTATATATTCCAACATCTATAGCATTAAAATTAATGTTTAAAAGTTAGGTACCTGAATTAATTGTGGTTGTCCTCCAGCATTTATTGGAGATGTTTGTATGATAACAGGTTGTGATGTATTTCCTTGAAGCTGCATTTTAATCATTTGCAATTGTTGCGGTGTCAAATTTATCTAAACAAACATTTTGGGTTTACTAAAAGTCTAGGATAATAATTACTTTTTATGTAGGGTGGTTGAAATTCCAAATAATTATAATAACTGCCACCTCACCGAAAAAAAAACCGGCCACCAGAAATTGGCCACAATTTTAATATTCATGTTTCGTTGCGAACCGCTTATCTGATTTTTTTGATTTTTTAGTAACGATGCTATGGTAGAAATTTTTATTCGGATCTTAATTTAGGCATATACAGGGTGCAAAAGTAAAAAGTTTTTTTTCCGAAACACACCCAGTGGGGTGCAGTGGTAATAATAGCAGATGTCAATTAAAATCATACATTATTCCCATCTTTTATTAACTTTTTGTTTTCTTTATTTACGTTATTATCTCGGATAAAGTGTTCGTATTGCCACAATACGAGAAGTACCCTTTACAGATAACGGCATTTTTTACTTGACTTTTGAAAACTTTTACTGTCATTCCAAAACATCTGACATCCGTTCTAGCGTACATGCAGCCTATACAAGGAAATTGACAAAACCTGCACACTAAATCTCAAAAATTAGGTTTTTTTTTCACCACCAGCACGCTGGTACAAACCAAACAATAAACGGAACACCAGCGCCCTCTAATTTTAGGACTGCTGTTATTGATGATACATCCCACAGGGTATCAAATATTTCGGGAAAAAGTATTTTTACTTTTGCACCCTGTATATTCTCAAATTAAAATTTTAACAAAAATGTCTATCTAAAAAACTCATTAAAAGCAGATTAAAATTATTGCCAATTTCAGGTGGCCGGTTTTTTTCGCCAGTGCAGTGAGTGCATTAATTTTTTTTTATGAAACTACATGTTTATTAAACATTGTTTAATAGTATATTATGAATCAAATTTGATAAACGCCATTTTAGACACGAATTTAATTTAGGGCCGAGCGAGCTTGCGAGCGATTGCTTAAATTAATGAGTGTCTAGAGAAGATTATAAAGGTTATAAATCGAAATGTATTCCTTGAAAATGGATTAACAAGTTTTTCACAGTGAAAGTAAAGAAAATGTTTTATGAACACTTCACAGTGGAGTCCGAATTTAAGTTATAGTTTACTGCCGGAGAAATTAAAATGGCAGTACAATGTTCATATAAACGTTTCAAATATTGGAAACTGTTTAATACTTTTGTATTGAGATAATAAAAGTATTTTCACATTTAGTATTATTTTACAAGGAAGGCTTTTTATTTTAACGATTGTATGACATTTTACAACTGTCAACTAAATTAATACTAACTTCAGCCCGTGACTAAAAACATGTTGCTAACTTCAGCCCGTGACTAAAACGCCATAAAAAGCCATAAAGCAATGTGTATTTAAAAGGTCATGAAAACATTTACGATAATGGGCGTTCTAAAGGTGGGAGTAGAAAAAAATATTTTTTTAAAACTTACCGGAATTTGTTGTAATTCCCCGTTGGGCGTCAAAATTTGCTGAATTATTTGCACATTGCCGGGCTGATTTTGTGCGATAGATTGTCCAGCCTGTAAAATAACAGGCTGAGCCGCTGTCGTGTTTGTTGGAGAAGAACTGGGAGGAGTCTAAACAAATGTTAGCAAATTGTCTTAAAATAAAGTTTGGACATTATTTTAGTCAATATGTATTTATTAAACTAACCAATGGCATTTCGAATAAATTTAATTATTTAACTAAAAATTATGTAATAAGTATAAAATTACAAATTAAAATCAAACTTATGTATATCTTTTCTAATTAAATATCTAATAGAATATATAAAACTTTTTATAATAAATAACCCAAAAGAGCGTAAACAAATATTCTACATTTGGCAACATTACTCTAAATCTTTCTGGTTCAAAAAATGTTCCAAAATTTTATTGTTTTACTTAATTTTAACAAAAACTACTGAAAATCACAAAACTTTTATTTTCAATATTTACTATTTAAAACGTCTATTTTCAAATGGTGCCAATAAAAATTAGAAATTCGGAGTGTGCTAAAACGTAGTTGTGATGTCACAGCTGCTTGACCGCGAAAGCAGAGGTTTTCAATCAATTTGGCAATACCTAATTAATCAACTGTTATTGTAATTATGTTATATTTAATATTATAAACGCCGCCTGTAAAAATGTTGTGTGTGACGCCCAAATGAGTTATTTAAAAATTAATAAAAACGGTTAATGCATCAGAAATCATGGGATGTTTTTTAGGTTTATCAAATTTAACAAACCTGTTCAATAGCGTTAACTTGCACAGTTTGAACTTGCTGTGGCTGGACTATCTGAATAGCTCCTTGAGGTACACTTGTAGCTGTGGTTGCCGCCGTTGTAGGCGACGTATTGTTTTGTTGCAAATTAGCGTGGTGCTGTTGGGCCAATTGGAAGTAATAATGAACCTAAAACGAACAAGTTTTTTTACCCTGCTGAAAATGGCGGATGAATGCGGATATAAATTCTTCGTCAAAACCGGACAAAATCAGATGATTTCGGATATAAATTCTTCGTCGAAGCTGGATAAAAGCAGATAAAAACGGGTAAAAATATCATCTAATAACATCTGCTTTTATCCGCATCGCTATATCCGCGGTACGTTTAGTGCACCCCCGCAATCATCTGTAAACAACTGTTTTTAACCGTCTCGACTGCGTTTCGTTTATATCTGCATTTGTCCGGGATCATCTGCAAACGTCTGTTTAGGTCTGGTTTTATCCTCGATTACCTGCATTGTTTTCGTCTATTTTTGTCGGGTTTCATCTGCAAACGTCTGGTTTTATCCGCGAGCATCTGCTTTTATCCGCGAACATATTCTTTTACCCGCGAACGTCTGCTTTCATACGGTTTCACCCGCACCCGTTATTATCTTCTTTTGACCGGCTCTACTACGTTTCATTAATATCTGCATCTGTCCGGGATCATCTGCAAACGTCTGCTTACGTTTGGTTTTATCCGCGATTACCTGCATTTTGTCGTCTACATGGTGTCCCTGAATAACTTTTAATTGAAAGGTTCAGACGTATCCGATTTTTTTTCATATTTTGATTAAAAATCACTTACAAGACTATTTTTTTTCAGGATAAACTCAATTCGCTTGGCACTTTTTTAGAAAAATCAACTTTTATAAAAACATTAATGATTTTTAATCAATTTTTGAGAATTTTAATTAGTGAACTACAAATAATGACTAACAGCTTTTAATGTACCTATTTGTTACATAAAATGTGGAATTCATTAGACTAGTGAACTATTGACATATGTCACTTGTCACATGTCGAAATCGTGATTGAAAATGCCGTTGCGTTATTTTTAGTCCGGTCAATCTAGACATTCGAAGGTACATAAATTTACAACAAGCTGAAAATCAGTAAAATTGTTCAGAATATAATTATTAATAAAATTTTAAAGTTCCCCATCATTCCCCTGTATGGAAAAATTTTTATTCAAGGTCAAAGGTCAAAAAAATGATTTTTCGCGATTTTCAGCAAAACGGTAAGTTTTATCATAAAAATACACAAGACAAAAATTGTAGATCATAAAATAATCTATAAAAAATGTATCAATACTTTTTTTCTACGAGCCACCGTTTCTGAGATATAACGATTCGAAAAGTTGTAAAAGTTATAATCGCCATAATATGCACACGTTTCCACGCCACCTATGAGGTAGTTTACTAAGCGCGTTTTTAAACGTGGTTTCCCCAGTAGGCCTATTTCACGGGTCACTTGTGATCCTGTTTAATTTGAAACTATTGCAAATTAACGGAAATTAGCAATGATTGGAAAAGATAATAGCGATGTAAATTTAAAAAAAGTACTGAAGTTTATTCGTCTGATTCGTAACATTTAATTTTTTTTTCTTGATCTTCTTCTTGTTCTTCTTCTTGTTGTTCTTCTTCTTCATCTTCATCCTGGGTTCAAGTAAATTGCGTCATTAGCGATGTATCGCATCTCACCTTGTTGGAATTAAATGAATCCTCCACTGTTGGTGATTCAACATTAGAGCACGACCGGCCTTGACAATTCGTACATGCCAGAGAATAAAACAGTCCGACTTTTTTGCAACCACATTTAGCACTGCATTCCTTTTTGCAGTTGCAAAAAATTGTGTTCAGCAGTTTTTCCGGCGCAGGTGGGAGTAAAGTTTGAACTGGTTCCAATGTGTTGTTGACCAACTTCCAACCCCAGTCTGTAGGGTCTAGCTGCCACACTTGAACATGGTAATATACCCGAAAAAGATGTTGATGAGCAGCAACTGAGGTTGGAGGAAGACAAGCTAATTGAACTTGTTTTTTACTTTTAGAATTTTTAACGAAACATGCATATCGATACTTATCAAAGTAGGTAGTTTTTTTAGGAGCTCCGTATATAGAAAGAAGAAATCGAATGCCGATAACTTCTTGTTCCGAAGACCCTTTTCCTCGAGTTTGAACGAAAAATCTCCGCTCGTTCGAAAGTTAAGCGAAGACAACGGAACGTGCCAAATTTGACGGAAAAATCGGAAAAAAGTGGACTTGGACCTTTTCGACACCGAAAAAATTTGGTCCGCGGATAGGTCTCGTGGGCAGAAAAAAAGGATGCAAATTTCAACCTTCAACGGCCTCCGAGCTACGGCGCTTAGAAAAAAAGGATATACAGACAACGGAAAAAATAAATATTGCAAACGGGCCGGATACGCCGGCAACTTTTCGAACAGGGTTCTTTTTTTTTTATTTTTTTTCGAACTTTTTCAAACGTTTTTTAGGTGGAGAGAAATTTTTGAAATTGGCCGAACGAAATACACGAATCGACGGGAAAAAGACCAAAGTTTGACATACTAAAAGATGAGCTTCATCCAATAAAAACTAATCGGCCAGAAGCCCGTTTAATTTTTGTTGGGTATTTAAAAAAGATAACCAATTAAAATCGATAAGGTGGCAAATGACAGGTGGCATATGACAGGGACAAATGACAGGTGACAGATAATAGGTGACAGATGTCAAGTTGACAGATGGCAAGTAACTAATGACAGTAGACAGATTACAATTGACAGATAACACATAAGGTGACAGAAGACGTGAGAAATATAAAATTCATCTTTAAAATTACTACCCAGTTTAGGTGGAGCGGTCGCGGCGCGAGTCCCACCCGCTTTATATTTTAAGTGTAAGTTAAAATGACCTATACAAAAATATTTTAACATATAATATATTACAACTCTAGAGATACGTGGCGTGCATATTATGACGATTACAACTTTTACAACTTTTCGAATCGTTATATCTCAGAAACGGTGGCTCGTAGGAAAAAAAGTATAAATACATTTTTTATAGATAATTTTATGATCTACAATTTTGTTTAAGGTATTTGTATGATAAAACTTACCGTTTTGATAGAAATTTTTTTGATCTTTGACCTTGAATAAAAAAATTTCCATACAGCGGAATGATGGGGAACTTTAAAATTTTATTTATAATTATATCCCGAACAATTTTACTGATTTTCAGCTTGTTGTAAATTTATGTACCTTCACTGTTATTTTTTGGTCTAATTTGACCGGACTATTTACCGTTTTTTTTCAATTTGTCGCAGATTTATTTATAAATTAGATATAAAATATTACTTTTTTTGTATATTTGCATTATTTATAGTAATTAGTGCGATGAAGCTAATAAAAAACCATGCATGGACTCACTCGGATAATCGCGAGAGAATTTGTTTGTTTTATCTTAAAAAAAAGAAAAAATGTCTAAAATATGTGGAAATATTCTGAAAAAAGTTCAAAGCATAGCTTTAGGTCCGAAACATCAGCAGCAGTTACTATCGCTCTTTAAAAAAAGAGCTCTTTTAAAAAAAAGAAAAAAAGAGCGATAGTAACTGCTGCTGATGTTACGGACTTAAAGTTTCACTAATATCGTTTTCAATATTTTCTTCTTTTACTCAAGGTTTACATTTATGTTTTTACCGCGGCCACCATCAATTCTTGACAAACATTTGAAACATTTTCTCACCTCACGCTTTTTTTCTTTTTTAATGGGTTTATTTTTAGCACTTTTTATAAAATTATACCCAATTATTTCCAATTAGAAAAATCAGGCAAATTTAACGTGTTTCTATAAATTTCTTGTTTAGCTGCTTTATATAATAAAATTTCACAACCTTTGCATACAACTTTTAGTAATTGTTTATCTTCTACATCATATACTACTATGCTTTGAACTTTTTCCAGAATCTTTCCACATATTTTAAACTTTTTTCTTTTTTTTTTAAGACAAAACAAACAAATTCTCTCGCGATTATCCGAGTGAGTCCATGCATGGTTTTTTATTAGCTTCATTGCACTAGTCTAATGAATTGCACATTTTATGTAACAAATACATTAAGAGCTGTTAGTCATTATTTTGAGTGCACTAATTAAAAATCTCAAAAAATTGATTAAAAATCATTAATGTTTTTATAAAAATTGATTTTTCTAAAAAAATGCCAAGCGAATTGAGTTTATCCTGAAAAAAAAAGTCTTGTAAGTGATTTTTTATCAAAATATGAAAAAAAAAATCGGATACGTCTGAACCTTTCAATTAAAAGTTATTCAGGGACACCGTGTCTATTTTTGTCGGATTTGATCTGCAAACGTCTGGTTTTATCCGCGAGCATCTGATTGTACCCGCAAACGCCTGCCTAGTCCAATTTCACCCGCAAACATCTGCTTTTATCCGCAAACAAATAATTGCGTCGAATCAATTTTAGAGTACCACAAGGATGTGTTTAGAAAAAATGTAATGCCAACTGAAATTATTTGTGAAGGGTACCATAGAAATAATAAGTCTATTAATTCTTACATCTATGTTAAAAATATTGGTTATGCCAAAATTAAAAAGTTTATAAAGTTTAATGAATTCCACGCCGAAATAAGTGTTTTCAAACAAATTCCATACAAATTCCAAATGTATTTGAAATTAAAAATATATGTTTCCTAACAATTTATTTAAATGTAAACTTAATGGTTAAAAAATGTTTATTTATGTATTTTACCAAATAATATTGAAGTTCAATAAACTTATTTCTTTTACAGGTTGTTTTTATTCAAATAATTCCTTTTAAAGTTATAAATTTTTGTGCCGTTGGCGGCTAACAAATAGTTAGTTAAACCTAAGTAAAATTTGACACAGCAGGTAAATTAAAATAATGTATACCCAAAAAGACGTAAGTAAAACGAAAAGCGCGAATGAACCCAGACGTTTGCAGACGAAACAGGACCGAAATGGACGAAGGAAATGCAGGCAATCACGGATAAAACCGAACGCGGGTGTGAGCAGAGGTTTGCAATTAAAAGCAGATGTTTGCAGGTGAAATCGGACGAAAGCAGATGTTTGGGGATAAAAGCAGATGTTTGCGGATTAAAACAGATGTTTGCAGATTAAAGC